TGATAAAAGACGTCACCGTATCCTGGCTGGCTATATATTGCAGTTGGTTGTCTAGTACCTCGTAGTCGTAACCGACTGACCTAAGGGCATCAAGTATGGTAGGTAATAGTTCACCTCCAGTTGCTTCAAGTTCACGGTCTGAACCCTGTACTGAAATCTTCAGTTGGACGTAAGTAGCATCCCGATTTCCTTTGGCCTGGCTGGCTCTGCAATTCAGCAGCCGGACTCGTTCAGATTCAACGTGCATATAGTGTTTCCGGAACAAGCGACATATAGTCTCCCGGGTAACCTCAAAGCCACTGAGATTCGCATGTGCTTTCACAACCTGCGTAAATTCAATTTCCAAATCTCGCGGCATATCAATATTAAGACTCTCTTTGAGAAGCCAGGCAACGCCGCCTTTGCCACTTTGAGAGTTCACCCTCACAATAGCTTCGTGTTGCCTTCCCAGATCAACTGGATCCATGGGGAGATATGGCATTTTCCACTTGGACGCCCGTGTAGCTCCAAGTCTCTCACTTTCTTTGAGTTTGTTATATCCCTTTCGTATGGCATCCTGGTGTGTACCGGTAAATGTGCAAAATACATATTTCCCTGCATAGGGTGCTCTAGGATGGACGGCGATCTTTGTGCACTCCTCCACCATAGCGACAACCTCGTTCAAATTGCTCAGGTTAACTCTGGGTGAAACACCGTGAGTATATAAATTGAGAGCCAACGTGACGAGATCGACATTTCCAGTGCGTTCGCCATTCCCGAATAGACATCCTTCAACTCGGTCTGCACCAGCCAACTGAGCCATCTCGGCTGCTGCCACGCCGCATCCTCGGTCATTGTGGGGATGAACTGATACGCAGACCTTTTCTCGCTCGGAGATACCGCGGCAGAAGAGCTCGATCTGGTCGGCGAACACGTTTGGCATTGTTGCTTCGACAGTCGATGGAAGATTGAAGATGATTTTGTTCTCAGTGGTGGGTTCCCAGGCTAATTTCACAGCTTCGCAAACTTCAATTGCGTATTCCACGGATGTATCTTGAAAATTCTCCAGTGTAAACTCAATCGTCCATTCAGTTTTGTGCATCTCAGCATCCGAGGACTCTTTCGTGAGTTCACGAATCTTCATTACACACCGAACAGCGAGGTCTATTATGTCCCCCTTTGTCATTTTGAAGACGACTTCGCGGAAAAGATCAGACGTGGAGAGGTGGATGTGCAAAATGACTTTCCTTGCACCCCGAACAGCCTCAATCGTCCTTTGTATAAGTTCCTCGCGACAAGGCGCCATGACTTGGATCCACGTGTCATCAGGCACAGTACCAGGGGTACTTATGAGGTGTCGGGTGAAATTGAACTCGGTTTGTGAGGCAGAGGGATAAGAGACCTCGACCTCTTTATATCCCAGCTTGACTAGGGTTTGGAAATAGCGTAGTTTGTCATCACCATTCATTGGCTTTTTCAGTTAGCAGATTGAGATAGTAGTATATGTGGAGTAAGTTACCTGGACTAATGTCTGGTTGCCATCTCTGAGGTCGGTTGAAAGCCATCGGGGAGCTTGAGTCAAAGTCTGAGTAGGCCACTTCCTATTGTATACATGCGGCCGAGGAGAAGCATAGTATTTGTCCGATGGTGTAGGTAGCCTGGGAATTACAATCTGTATTAGCTAGTAGGCTCTGCAGTAGGGGGAGAACTCGGACTAGATATACATGTTGTCCTGTTCGGTAGGGCTGAATATCGCCTGTGTAGAGCAAATAGCACTATTTGTCTGCTGGACAAGGTGTCAGGATGAATAGCCGGTCGCCTTTGATATGAAGAAATAAGCAGGTTAGGTTGTTGGACAGTGGAATGGTAATGGTGGCACGCATCATGTTATTTATATATGAAGCATGGCCAGGAAAGCCGTCAGTATTACTATGAGCATTCTGCGGTTGGTTCACATGAAACTAAGAAGGTACGATTCAGTGGACCATAAACAGGGAACGCCACGGTGCTGTACTGCAGTGCTGTAACATAATACATAAAACCGTACCTAGCTCCCTTCCAATGAACGACAACCTTACCATTCCGACAACAGGTGGTGGTCAGAAAGATCCTTCATGCTGTGTAACATACTGTCGTCACTCGTCACGATCTCGTGCATTATCACACTCGAGATCATGTCGCTTATCTCGCCCAGATCCGATAACAAAAGCAAAAATATCCTAGGATGGTAACTCGATTCAGGTTCAAATCCCGGTTTGTGATGAGAATTGCCGTGCAAGCCGGTGGCAAACCTCCATATTTGCAGTAATTGGTTACCTTTCATCCAAATTGAAATATCTGAACGACGAATAATTCCTGTCGTGTCACCATATATACATATCCTAACCTATTTTGGAAATACCATGTCTATCAACAATCTCAGCTGAGTCGGCAACTCCGGGTCAACGAGAATACGATTGAAGGGGGTGCACGATTCTCCTGTGTGATAAAGGCATGGGGTTCCTTTGTAAGGTGATAGGGACTAACAGTATCCACACACCATGTCAGCCAACCATAGCGATATGTCGACTGCTGATGCAGTGAGTTCTGAGAGGCCTGCGCCCCCGCATACCATCTTTGATAGATCCCAGAAGCGTTTGTTAGCCGCACTTGTGTCCACCGCTGCTACATGTAAGTCACTATCCATGCAGATGACAATACTGCAGACGGCTCTAATAAAATCAGTCTCAACACTGGCATCAAATATTTATTTCCCTGCGGTGCCCTCCATTGCCCAGGGTTTGAATGTCTCCGTTGAGCTCGTCAACCTTTCGATTACCGCCTATCTTATCTTCCAAGGCATAGCGCCTAGTCTCTGGGGACCGATTTCAGACGTTAAAGGTCGCCGAACAGCATACATCGGTACCCTGTTCGTAGCAGTCTGTGCATGTATCGGCCTCGCAGAGACTAGGAACTATGCTATGCTTGTCGTTTTCCGATGCTTGCAGAGTACTGGATCTGCTAGTACGGTTGCTATTGGATCAGGCGTGATTGGGGACTTTACTACCCGAGAAGATCGTGGGGGGTTCATGGGATTCTTTCAAGGAATGATGTTGATTTCCATTGCCATTGGGCCTGTTATAGGAGGGGCACTTGCAGGGTCGCTTGGATGGAGGACTATATTCTGGTTTCTCACTGTTTACAGCGGGGTATTGCTTACCATGATCGCTCTCTTTCTTCCTGAGACGTTGAGGTCTATCGTGGGAAATGGTGCTCAACTTCCCTCGTCAAGGATCGGAAGTTATCCCCTTACACTCTACCAGCGCTTCACCAAAACAAATTGGAGCGAAACTGCAGCAGATAACCAGCTGGCCCCCAAGAAACGAACTGACCTTTTAGGACCCATCCGCATCTTGATCAGCAAACAAGCAGCTCCGCTAGTATTTTTCTTTGCTGTATACTTCGCCGTCTGGCAAATGACGATCACGGCTATGGCAACCCTTTTCAAGGAACATTATGGTTTGACAGAAATTCAATCCGGGTTAACCTTCATCGCCAATGGTGCAGGATCCATGGTTGGAACCCTCATCACGGGTAGGATCCTCGACAAGGATTATCGCCGAATCAAAGAACGACATCTCGCAGAAACAATACTCTCAGGAGAAGAGAAGATTTTTCCACTTGAACGAGCCCGTCTTCGTCTTGTTCCTATCTTTGCTGGTCTACAATGTCTGTCAGTCATGCTATTTGGCTGGACTCTTCAATATTCGTCCCATGTCCACATCTCCATTCCCATTATCTCATCGTTTATAACTGGGTGGACAGCTGTATCCAACCAATCCATAGTGACAACCTATCTAGTGGATGTATTCTATGATAGTAGTGCTGCTGCAAGCGCAAGTTTGAATATGGCACGTTGCTGCCTGGCTGCTGGGGGCTCGGGTTTTGTCATGCCCATGGTGAATGGTGTCGGATGCGGAGTGGCTTTCACAATATGCGTTGCAGCGCAGATTTGTGCGACTGCTGGCCTAGTGATACAATGGAGGTATGGTGGTCTCTGGAGAAATGAGATGGAGAAGATTTTGAGTCGGTGAGTCGGTGAGTGGCATGCTACATGGTCAAATACTGCTTTGCAGAATCCTGTTCTACACAGAAATCGGTCATGGAATACCGTTGCGTACTGCAAAGGGGCCTTATGCCTTCTTCGATAAGCCTAGGTAGAGGTCCTGGGTGAATAATACTGGTGGTCATTTCCAATGCTATTCAGTACTTTTTTTCCCTTCTCCAAAGCTGTTCGAGCTATAAGTGCGAATAGCTTAAGTAAGAGCTGCTGAAAACTATCTAACCTGTGTCTGGGACAGCGACTTATCATGTAGAAGGCCCGATACACGCAAGTAATACGCTATATGTTGTATTGTCTCATGGTAATAGTATTATAACAGTCATGTAACCTTCTCTCTCCATGGAAAAGTTATCTTATCTCTATATATTATCCATGTAACACACAAGACTAAGCTTCCATACATTTTACATTTCACTTGCTTTCGTATGTAAATATCTGGTTTTCTCCTATCTATAACCAATGAAGAAATGCTCCCGTTGATTTGCACAAGGTTTCTAATGGTGATATGAGGTGTTAGAGGAGATAGAAAGAGAACTATATGAGCTTATAATGCCAGATATTACCATTATATCTCCGAATTTTGTCTGCAATTCAGAAGAATGTAAGTAATTCAACCAGAATACACGCCAGGTAGTGGCTTTATACGTTCTGTAAGAGCGTCTTGTCCTTTTCCCGATGCATGGCACATGATTTCTGGATATTTACGCCGGTTTTCTACCCGCAAATTAAGTACCGCACCGGAAATGTTGGATGGCATAACACAAACCGTAACGCCAGGTCAACAAGTGTAATAAGCGTCTGGGCGAAAGGGTTCATGACAAGGGGCCGGCATTGATTTTCTGTGTATCGATCTATAAATAACCCTGTTTTCCGCGATCTCTAACTACGTTTCCATGGGTTCTCACAACTTCAACATCTTCTAGTCACCTAGCATCGATCCGACCGACTGTCTAAGTAATGATGCATGTTGCGATTCGTAGCCCAACATCCCATTTTTCTTCAATGTGGTAACAAATTCGCCCCAGTAATCTACAATGTTCCTGTTCACCTCAACGTGGAAATTTTTGTACTCGTGCTCGCGGTCGGCATTTTCCCACCGCAGCAAGTAGACGAGACACCGGGCACGTTGCCCTTGGAAGAGCACCGGTCGATCAAGCCATCCATGCTGCCAGTCCGTAAGCCCTGCCAAGGGGTACACATCAGAGCCAATGAGAATTCCAAGGTTGTATAGATTGGTGCGGTTCAGCTCCTGAATCTGTGAGCCCACCAGATCCTCAGGAAAATACACGGCCATGAGCTCGTAGTACTCTGTTGCACCAACATACTGGTTCCGGAAAGCGCCGTCATGGAATGCAGCCCCAAGTGTCTGGGAGAGATCGATCATAGATACTTGGACGGATCGCTCGGAAGCCCAAGCGGTAAGGGTCTCGGTAAGGCACTGGTACTCATCTGAGTTGATAAATATGTTGCGCATATCCGCAGAGCTCCACGCTGGGAACGACGTCAGATCTTCATCTTCGTGGATATCCCAATTTGCTTGACAGAAATGTGACTTGGGAGACTAACACAGCATGAGCCATTCGGTGTGTGGTGCTTCCACGGGCTACGTCCGTCGAAATCTTAGATGACGAAGGTAATCAGATTGGTTGAAAATATTTTGGAAGAGTCTAGTAATGGGGTCGGCTGCATCGTGATGTGTCGCGCCTGTGCCTGGGTTCAATACGATCCAATCGACCAACTTGGTGTGTTTCCCGGTTCTAGGCGGCTGCCTCAGCGCGAAAGTTGACGCGTCGCGGGAAGCTTCTGGAAAGAATTTTGGAAATTCGTATTTTGCTTGCGCTCTGGTGACAGGTGGCATTGTTTGTGTGAAGATATAAAAATGTGAGGGTGGACAGCAGGTGGGCAGCAGGTGGACCATGCCGGATGCATCTAAGGAAGGGGAGTCGGTCGCTCTGGTTGTGAGACAAATTATTGGAATCCTGCCAAGCATTTTGGTTCCACCCATCCCCGCAAAAGAGGAGGATATTTACTAAACCCTGAAACATATTCCAAAATACATATTGGTCAGTTGTTTTGAGAAAGGATAATAAGCTCAGTACGTTTGAATTGTGGCCGATGGCACCTCAGATCCTAATAGTTTCGTTGAGACCAGTTGATTAATATGTAATGACTCTAATTAGGTGTATACCAAAACGAATATATCATTAATATTCCTTCTCACCTCTGTCTTGCCAAAAAAAAATATAGTATCGACAAGGGGCGTACCGCAGCCAGCGATGATGAATCAAAATACATTGATAATATTCTTACAACAGACCACAACCGCATTCACAATAAAAATTCAGTACTAGTGAGCCTTAAGCAAATTTTGTAAACATTGCGCTTTCTACTTGCATTCTTTCTGTTACCTGAACCCGGCACTGCCTACTGGGACCCAAGCGGGATACATTCAGTGGCTGCTCATATTCCTTCTTCAAAGAAGGGTTTATTGCCTACTGTGGGGTCCCCACAACATTCGGCAGTGATTTGCAGTCAACATGGTGTCGAGGAAGCTTCGACGTCTTCGCCTTGCAGGTTGCTAACAAACCAAGCTGGCCCGTTTTACCCAGCATGTGCTTTGGTATGCCGCACTGAAATACGGCGTCATCGCTTGGAATAACAGATAATCGAAGTGTCTCATCTGGCGTCTGGTGTTAGGTTGCCTTCATGTAGGAGTCTATAGTGTGAGGATCATACCGGAGTTTCTTTTCGTGCAATGTTCCGAGGATCCAAGCCTTATTGGCCGCAACCCACTTGCTATGGTCTGCGTATACTACCGTGCTCCATGAATGTAAGTAAAGGTATAGATAATAAATTTCTGCCCAATCTTCAGTCCATACCAGTAACTGTCCGGAGCTTTCCATTATCCAGGTATCGTTGTAAGATGGACGACATCTTCTAGCGGAATGCCGGTGTGGTGTCGACAGAAGCCTGCACGCCAACCAACAAGTTGCGGGTGCAGACAAGGGACTGTAATCGCTGGGGTAATCCACTGAGTCCTTAGGATAATTTAATAGCCTGCTCAACGGTACTACAATTGAGAGGCCATGTAGTTGCCATTGAGAATGGCTTACGCATTGCCCATACAAAATGGGCTCACGGGAAACCCGGACCATCCCTTTATCGTAGTACAGAGGTGCCTTCTAGCCTCTTCCCACTACGGACTAGCGGGAAGCTGATCTTCCGCCCTTAACCTCAGCCTCGTGGGGCGTGAGAGGACTGTTGCTCTCATCAGCTGCCACGTCCCCGTCAACGCATCCCACGAGTCCACCACCACCCGGACGCAACCACCTTGAATAATATCTGAAAAGCCGTAAAATATCCTTAGCAGAACATCATTACTGCAACAGCCAAAATCTGGGGAGCTTCCCAGGCGGAGCTAATGACCCGGCCCGACACAGTCCGTTCCATTCTTTGTGAAGAGCCATGGATTTGGAATGACGGGTCGAGTGAGATTACATTTCACGAAGATGGAACAGGAAAGGTGTGTTCAGCGATTAAATAGCCTCCTTTCCGCGCAAATTGACCCTTGCCATGCAGCTGTTTTGCTCTACCGAGTACACTTGTTGGATTTTCGCCGAATTTGACTGGAAACCGCATGATTCTGCGTATCTCGATCGGACCATTGAGAATTCCAAGATAATCGGTCACTTTACCATCGAGATGACCCTCACAAAGCGACGACCGCACGATATCTGGTACAAAGGGAAAGTCAATGAAAGTTGGCTAAACGAAGGGGCATTTTGCGCAAAAACGTATCATATAACAATTGAGCACGGGCGCTTTAGGAACCAATTCGACGTCAAGCATAAGGTTTTGGATGGCTCACTATATGCGCTGCGCATAGTTTTTGATCCCTCGCCGTTTCCGCCGGACGAGGAGTGGAATGACGAAAGTTACGGACCCCATGCGATGAGACTCTGGGAGTGTACAGAATTTAACGCTAGAAGATATCTCAACGAAAGACTGAACCTATGGGAAAAACTGATGGCTTGGTGCAATGATTGGATGAGGTGATTTAATAGGAGAAAATGGGAGGCCATTTACTTGTACAGTAGATTGATTCCTAGAAGTACTCCTATGTGAAATCCGACTTTCCTAACTCACGGTACTCGGAATATAATAATATAGTTGTGCCATACTAGAAGTGATCATCTCATGGTTTTGTGTCGAACAAACGGCGATCTTCATACGCGGTTCGGTTGGGTTTTAAAATAACGCAAAGGGGCAGAAGTCGGTCAACCAGAGGGACAGCTCTAGTCGTACTGATTGATGCTGGCTTATTGTACCGAGGCAAGTGTTATTGTCACTCTACCGCCAAATTACGGGCCACACTATGGTGGCCAAGAATATTAATGCACCGTGAGGGTTGGGCTAGAATTTGGCTGCTACTGGGCATACCCCACCTAACCTGGTGTACTAGCGGAATGAGAATAGGTAAATGGTACGGCGGTGATTAGCTGCCATCGGGTAGATGGGGTTTGTCTCCGAAAAGGCGCATCCATTTCTTGACAAGTCAGGAGATCGACGTCGCAGCAATTCGAAAACGGGCGCCGCCACATAAGCTTTTATGGAGAGGATCACAAATCCTGTATGGCAGGGACCGATTCAAAAAAATTCTCTCTGCTCCTCAACAACCGCCAGCCGCCCGAATTCCAGATGTGTTATCCAAACATAAGATCCCTCCCCTATCAAACAGGCACCGCCTCGAATAACGCATTGGATCCAGTTCCCTGAAAGCCCGACCGCCATACTTTGACTACCCTGAATTCAGCCTTCTCCAATAGTCCCAGCCACTGCCTCTCTGTCCGTTCCAGTGATCCATAGAGCTCCATCATAATGATATCCATTGAGGATGAAAACCCGGGTGCATTCATCTCGGGCAGGACATTCTCATTGATCAGTAGCACTGAGTCGGCGGCCATGGCATCATGAACACGCCTAAGAACCTCCAGGGCCTGTTTATCGGGCCAATCGTGTAAGACAGTTCGCATATAGTATGCTTTCGCCCCTTTAATGGGTTGTGGGTCAAACATGTTATGGCCCATGGCTTTCACACCTTCAATGAGCGGCTCTTGGATGTCCTCAATGACCTTTGGAAGATCCTGCACGATTAGCTGGTCTCTTATCTCGGGATGCTTGCGCTTGAAGCCGGAAAGGTCGTGGCCCTTGCCACCGCCGATGTCCACCAGGAGGACACGGTTTGGGCCACTGGTAGTGACCAGCTTCTCCTGCCATGGGTAGTAGTCATACCATTGCACACCTTCCAATGAGCGATTGCCAATCTCCATCACTGTATTGAAGGCATGCAGCTCCTCCGGGTTGTGCTGTATCCACTCAAAGTAATGTTCCTTTGTCCCAAAGGCAAGCTGGAAGGTCGTGTCGTAGGCATCTTGAGGGTTACGGTATCCCCTTGCCTCGAAATAGTCATAGGAGTGTACCGAAGCCTTCATGTCCGAATGGCTTGTTACATATGAGCCACGATTATTCTCCATTGAAAGACGGCAAAAAAAGACCTACAAATGTTTGATGACCTCACTGGGCGGACTACCAGAAGCGAACATGGTCGCTAGCGGCAGCGCCCGGTATTTCTCCACCCCCGTCTCTTCGAAGACGTGGTTCGCACACAGCACCCGCATGATACGCACTGCAGAAGCGAATGATCATTAATATTCATTTTAAACTATCAGGGATGCATCTTGGCAAATAATAGAATGAAATGAAAAAAAATGAAACAAAAATGGTCGTGACCACAGAAAAAACCGGAGAGGACCCCTGAAGCCACAATATTGTTCCAATAGACAAGGAGGCTGGGGAATGAAGAAAGAACCAAGAGAAACCGGGAAAACTAGAAAGAGAACAGGATAGAGGTTTTCGAAAAAAGTAAAGCCCGCAAAAAGAAAAAGATACAAAGAAAAAAAAAAAAAAAAAAAAAAAAAAAAACAAAAAAAAAAAAAAAAAAAAAAAAAAAAAAGGCTAATGCAAGGACCTACCTAAGAGGGCTTTGTCCCCCTTGGTGTTCTCATCCAGGGCATCAGCGCTCATTTCGCCGGTCTTGGCCGAGGCAAACGCATCGAATATACCCATTCCCATGGCGACCCGAATGGCAACTAGGCCATGGTGCTTCAGAGTTGTGCCCAGTATTAGTTTGAGAGCATGTTTGTAACAGGTGATGCCAATGACTTACACCAAAGCAAAGATTGCGAACGGTGAGGAGAGGTGGTTCCACGGCAACGCGGAGCTTGTCGATGGCATCCAGAAGCTGGTACCGATCTGCATCCGCGATGTCATCTCCGGCGGTAAGCTTGGCTAGGGTGCTGTTGACAGCAGCGGTCAGTGCATTCACAGTATCGGCCATTGCGACAGATGATCCGAAGTTTTGGGATAGAGGTATACAATGAGAGACCGGGTGATACCAGGTTTGGGACAGGGAAATACTTTATACTTCTGTTGATCTTTTGGTGTTCCTAATTTTACTCGAAGTGCAAGTAGAGATATAGGGACATCCATTGATGTGGAAATTGACCTACATATTACATGCCTTCTGCATTGGTCATCTCCAGTTTCCCCCGTCAGCACTAATGCATAGCAATGTGCTTAGACAAAGGAAAGCGAAGGCACTAGCAGATAGAAGTCCCAATCAGTTTAGCGCGACTGACATCTGCGCCGATCGACAACGTACGAGGAGTCTTCCTGTGACATTTCATACATATGAATGTGACAGTACTGGGAACATGCGGGACGCAAACAAGTTCAGCCAACCAGCTAGCTTATTTTTACCAATGTTTATATTACCCGGTGGGAGTTAGCCGTTTGACCACCATGAGACTCTAGGCCAAGTCGGTCGCGTAGGTAAACGTCTCCACCAAGGACAGCCTTGCGGCGCGAACGAGATTACCCCACTCGTCTTTGGTTCGCTCCCTGGCCGCTAAGCACGCCATCATGGCGATGTCCATCTCAACCACCCGAGGCCCAGCGCCAGTCTCACGGAGAACTATCTCGTTGATCGGCAGATTCGACTATCCATCTGTCGCCATGGCCGCACTCTAGAGCCGCAGCAGCTGCACACACTTGTCGTCTGGGTGGTCATGCAGCACGCTTAGCATGTAATAGAAGCTCGCGTCGTTCATCGGTTGCGGGGTCCAAAAGTCATGGGCCAAGGGTTCGATGCGGGGGTGCAAATTGGCTTAGGAGAGGGCGGCCAGGACGTCTTGCGGGATAATGCTCCTCCTCGTTCCTAACAGAGGGCCCAGTCTATCGAATAGGGCAACGCATTGGGGATCTCGCCCCCCGATATCGACGAAAAGGGTCATGGTCTGATTGCCCCCACCATCCAGGTCCGGGTCAATGTTCGGATTATTCGTGGGATCGTCTCTACCTCAGGTGAGTCGGTCCAGCTGAAACACATCCATCCAGGTGGGTTGACCATGGCGCTGGGAGGTCATCCAAAGATTGAATTCCTTGAAAATATGGGGGCTTATCCATCGTCAAGGCGAAAGTTGTCAAATTTAGTTCCGTGCGCCTACTGGAATGCCGTTCGGCTGGCATCGAATGAATGCGGATACCCGCTAGCAGTCAGGAAGGATGGAAGGGTCTGCCAGACGGAGAGCTGGATTCCGAAGCTAGGGACGCGTTAGTAGGGAGCCAGTGGAGCATGGCACAGTTTGTATTGCCTTATGGTGATTGATTCCTACTCGAAAACCGGGCAAGGTGAGGGCCTGTGTCGCTGTAGATGCCCCGTAGTACTAGTCTAAACTCGCTTCATGAACCAGGCCAAACGCGGACAAATACCGGAGAATACGGCCTGAAACTCCAGGCAGTTAGGTAACATTGGTGATTCACAACTGAAGGTTGTGGGGAGGAGGAGCACCCTACGCAGCAATAGGCTCTGCGCCCCGGTCGGCTCCACGTGCTCTACCACCTGGCAGGCTCTTTGGACGCCCATCCGATGTCAGTACTACTACTACCTAAGATCCAACCTACGGTGGATCCCGGCCCGGGAGATCTCTGCCAATCAACTGCTCATCGAATGTCAAGCATTGTGTTCCAGCTGCACCAGCCACTCGAGTGGCCGGAGTCACGAGCCCAGCTGCTTATAATTTCCATGAGTAGCGCGAGACTCCTTGGGATTTCTACTCTGATTTTCGTCTCCCACCCTTTCTGCTCAGCGCCTAACGACCTCAATGGACACCATTATTCCGAACGCTTTGAAAAAGGGAGACGCAATCGCCTTCGTCTCACCCTCCGCACGACTCAATGACATCCTACCTGCTCCACTCGAGCGAGGGAAAGCCTATCTAGAGTCACTAGGCTTCCGTGTCCAGATTATTTTCTCTAACCAAACAACAGCCACTATCACAGATTCTATTCGAGTGCGATGCGAGGAGATCCATTCCGCATTCCGTGATAACAGAATTGCCGCCATAATCTGCACGATCGGGGGCGCGCATGCGAACGAACTGCTACCTTTCCTCGATTACTCGCTTATTCGATCAAATCCTAAAATCTTCGTCGGCTACAGTGACACTACCTTTCTACATTATGCGATTCAATCTCGGACCGGCTTGCGCACATTCTACGGACCCAGTATTCTTACAGATTTCTCTGATTTTCCCAAGCCTATGCAACTCACAGTTGACCACTTCATTCGTGTGTTGACTGAGGCGGGAAAACCAGTGGGTCCACTTCCTCGATCCTCTATCTGCTCAAACGAGCATAGCGACTTCCTACTTAGCAAAGGAATCCTCGAGAAACCGCGTGAAATTGTTGATTCACCGTCGTGGAGATGGCTCAGAAAAGGTCAAGCTACTGGGTACCTATTTGGAGGCACTGTACCTTGTGTCGTGCGTCTTCAGGGGACCCAATACGCCCCCTCCTCGTGGAAAGACAAGATTCTCTTTCTTGAGTCTGCGATGGGCGACAACTTGCAACTGCCGTATTCTGTATCCCAGTTCCGGAACAATCTTGTCGATCTCGCTCTGTCTGGCATATTGCATGAAATTCGCGGACTGGTTGTTGGACGAGGATATAAATACGATACCCATATGCAGGAAGAGCTGGCAAGTGTGATACTGGAAGTCTTTGAGGTGATTGTTGGTCGAAGTCGTGAGGAGGAGTTTCCGATTTTGATGAATGTTGACTTTGGCCATACGAGTCCATTCTTGACTTTGCCCATCAACGCATTAGTCAAGTTAGATAGCGATCTCGACGAGTTTAGCGTTCTGGAACCTGGGGTACAGGCTTGACGGGGTAGTGGGACTCTATTCGCTGAGAGAGGTGCGCCGAAAGTGTGCCTACGTCTGTAGGAGTTCTATGTACAGCTGCCTGGAGGCCTGTCACCTTGCTTTGATATAGGATTTCTGCTCTTTCGCTTTCCCAAGGTGCGGTCGCCCTCACACGGCATGGCTACGTAGCAAGATAGATAAGGCTTTCTGAAACTGTATGAGATAATAGTACACTCCGAATCTCCCGACATAACGAGGGTCAGCAGCACATGTTCAGAACGCTACCATGAAACAAAGCACTCCACTGCCAGCCTTGTCTGAATGAAAGGCGATTAGTCTAAAGCCATCGTATTGAATGAGTGAGTTATGGACACGTGGTATTTCTATGTCTAACGGCTGAGGCTCTCCAAGAGGGATTGCATTGTGTTCACGCTTATATTACTGCTCCGTACATTAGGGTAGCTAGTGCCTTTAAGGCTAGATTAACAAAATAATCGTTGGCCTAGAACGCAAAAGATAAAGCCATCTCAGCCTATGGAGTGACCGGCGAGCACGCCATTATTGCCACAACCATCTACGCCGCCGGAGATCCGCCGCCGAAATCTCATCTCGTGGATAAGCTGGCTTTACGATCAGTCGGACACCATCCCCTCGCTGCCTTCCGGGCGAAGTTGTCCGAATATCGCTCAATTGTGTCACTCCATACAGACTTCCCATCGGAGCCGTGACCAGCGATGAGGTCCCATTCTCTTCCCTGTCTAGGGCGCATTGTGAAGGTTGTTGGAAATAAGCATATTGCTTGTGCGGATAATTTGTGTACGCTCGGTAAAATAACTTAAACCTCCTCGGGCGGCATCCTTGGACCATGAAAGATAGGCCCTCCAATCTCGTTCATTTGGAGCAGGTATGAGAAGATCATTAAGTTTACAAGGAGAAGCGTCAATAGCAGAAATGTGACAAAAACTTACATATAGGATAAGCATGCCATCTGTGCTCATTCAAGGTGCACGAATTCATTAACCATGGAGATTTGGAACTAATCAACATGGCGGAGATCACTGCAACTCCAACACCGCCCAAAAGACATCCATAGTCTCCCACCGGGTGGAACCCTTTACACCCAGTTCCTGCATAGATTGCTCGAGTTCCTGAATAGCAGAATTCATAGCTGCATCATTTGATAAACCTTCCTCCTGGATCCATTGCCGAAATAGAGGTGAGGAAACGAACTCCACTTCCCAATGGCCATCCCACAGCTGTGAGTCAGGTTGTATGTAGCCGGAGCGTTTCTCTCGCCAGCCAGTTTCGTGCGCAACGTCGAGCAGCTCTTCTGGAGTGAGCGCTGAGCGTACGTTGGGCTCCCTCGACCCTGTCGCGGCGGACTTGCGTAGTGAATGGTACTGGGCTTGCGCTCGCGCAGCCAGAATATGTGGGACTTGTGCGGGTCGTGAGGCCCGAAACCCGTACTCCGCCAGGCACAGATAGCGCACTTTCGCATTGGCTAGAATCTGGAAGACCTGGGCAATGCTCGCACGGTCGGGGAAATACCATAAAGAGTGGCACAGTACGGCCGCATCAAATTGATCAGTGCTCGTGGGTTGGGAAAGGAGACTGGCCGTGTCGGTGCGGAGAAATTGGATGCCCTGCCCTAGCGTGGACGCCTGGATGTACTTCTGCGATTGTTCGACGGTGTATGGTCCACCGTAGTTAGGCGGGGCCGTGTCGATGGCTGTAATATGACCATGAGAACCGTTGATCAATGCGAGAACTAGGCTCGATTCGCCTTGGCCACATCCAATATCAAGCACTCTAGAGCCTTGCTCGATGTCCCAGGCTTGAGTCAGAGCAAGCCTGTGCTGGAAATTTGGCTCAACGATGGAAGCGCGGCTTTTTCATCATGCAGATAGCTTGACAAGAGAATATCCATCACTCGATATGGGATCAGTTTTATAACTTTCCTTGCGTTTCCTGATCCGTGAAAGCAGTTGGTGATATAACTATCGTCGGTGTGGGAAGATAAACCAGGTGAGACGAAACATCACTGTTCGCCCCAAACGGTCTACTTATGTCTAAATTTTCGTTATCATGTTGGTAGTTCTGCCTGCACCGTCTCGCAACCATTATCCATGTTCGG